ATAAAAATATGGAAGTCGGAAATCTGCCTGGACGCTGCCTATAAGTAAGCACAAGCTGAACATATCTTACTCTTTCCGATCATTAAAGAGTGCACTTTGAATTTATTGTCCTACTTCTATGGACACTCATTTATCAGTAAACAAACTTTTGTCGTCTGGAAAAAAGGTTAGTGACCAACAGCTTTACAACCGATTTCCATTCTTTCAATGCAGTCTCCAGGGAGATTAATTTCGGCAATGAGTAATCACGAAGCAGTTTATTACAGCAATGTTGTAACAGACGTCAGACAAATAAATTATTACAAGATTGTGCGGCAACTGTGGGGGAGGAAGAAAAAATTGCTTGAGAGGAAGTTGAGATTACAAGCTCAAGATGTATTATTGAGGGATTGCAAAAAAGTTTATGTCTAATTATTCAAAAATTGCAAGTTGTTATAAAAATTGAGACAAGCCAAATCCTCCATAGAAACCCAATTTCAGTTAAATCTATGCTTTTTTATGCTTTTGTAATAATCACGCTGCTCGAGCTAGTTTTCTGAATTCTCAATCGCGTTTGCACCCACGTTTGCCCCACAATATTTTTGCGAAATTGTTGGAGTATCCATTTCCTATACGGCGTAATAAAGTAAATTGTAAGTATTGGATCAATGGCACACGGCAAGGTAGTAAAAATTGCCAAAAAATATTCTACAAATACAAAGCGATATCCGCTAAATTGTGATGCGAAGTAGAGGAAACCGATTGGTACGTAGCAAACAAGAGGCGTGAGAGCTTGTACCGTCAGAGCCTGGAAAGCACAAGTCATTCATATTCGTACCTAAAATTAGAGACTAACCTTCAGCAGTATTTTTGAGTTCTGCTTAGTTTTCTCGCTAAACGATGCACCGGATTCATTGAGGGCTTTCAGGATGAGGGATCTCCAAAACAAAATAACAGTAGGCAGAGTTACAGCGATAGCAAGAAGAAGGGCCGTGTTGATAAAATGGAGTGGAGCCGTTACTGAGTGAAAGCCCCCAAATTGTCCATATCTGCAAGGCTGTTTCAATTACATCTCTAGATGACCAAAACACTTACTTTTCTAGGTCATATTCCGGATGACTTTGAATTGTAACATTCATGACGAAATCGAAGCGGTAAGGTGGTATGTGAGGGTTGATCTGCAAAGACTGACTACTTCAAAATTTGTCATCAGTGAGTTAATCATCATTCTTTTCGTAGTTCATAACCATCATAGGCACACTGTTCAGCTTACCACAATCACGAGTTTTCGTTCATGATTGATGTTTAGTAATCCAGTTCTAGCTAGAAGGTTTGGAACATGTTGTGTTGCATGTGTAAATCTCGACAGCACATAGATGGCACGA